TATCAAGCCGCGTTGCTCCTAAGCCACAGAAACCCGTGTTCCTGGCTTTGTGGCAACCTTGGACAAGCCTTGGGCTTAGGGACTGGTTTCTGAAGATGAAGGTAAACCTGGGTCTTAGAGGGATCTTCAGAAAGGGCTGAGATGCTGAACTGTGGTGCCTAACACCGCGGTGTGAGGCATCGCCCGGCCTCACACACCAACAGGGGATTTGCAAGGATGGAGAGAAACTGAGGCACAGCAGAGTGACTGTGCCGTGCAGGCAGACACCCTCTGCCATCGCTTCTGCAATGACACCAGTTGTCCTGACACGAGCAGAGGCATTAGCTGGGTGTTTCAGCACGCTCGACAGATCCATTACGTGCTGTTTTTAAGAGATTAATAAGTGATTAATTTGCTGGCAGAAGGTCAAGTGGGTGAGGGAGATGCTCTGTTGTAGCCCTTGGAAGGTGTCCTCTCCTTTTGTTTCACGTGATGGGGTGAGCTGCACATCTCTGTCCCCCTGCTGGCCCTGTCTGGGCCCTTTATAAATGGGTGATAAATGCAATATGAAGTAAAGCCTGGCAGTTCTGCTCGGCAGAGGATGAACCTGGTGGCAGTCCTTGGCCATACTCTGCACCGATACCTTACCCAACACCTTGCAAGGCAACAGAAGCGGCAGTGGGTGACGTGGGAAGGAGAAGGTCCCTTGCACAGGATTCTGGTGTCTCCCTTTCCCCTAACCTCAACAGAGAGGCCAGGGGGATGAAGAACTACTCTTCCCCAGGTCATGCAGCCCCACCTCTTGCAGGAGAGATTACTTTCAGTGGTGCTTTCGCAAGTGATGCAGCAAAATATCCTCTGGGAAAAAAGCCATGGCTGTTGTGGCGGGGGCTGAACGTGGCTCCTGCTAAATCCTGTTCCCAAAACTTCTTCCCTTGTGAATCCTGGCTCTGCACGAGCAGCCTTACCCGACAGCGGTGGCGACCAAAGTCCAATCTGTCCTGGCCCCGTACCCTGGCGAGCTCAGGAGACAGGAATGTCCAGAGTGCTGGTAGAGGGTTCCTGGGTTTTTCTGGTGCGGGTCTGCAAAGCCCAAACCCTCTGGGAGGCGTTTGATTTTCCTTTCTGAAATTAGCTTTAGTGCTGAAGGTTGGGTTCGGGCCAGTAAAGCTTCCTTTGAGCCATCGGCTGTGCAAAAAACTTCTCGAGTCCGCAGCGTTTCCCTTAAACGCTGGTGCCAGAAATTTCCCTCACCTGAATGTTATAATCTCCTCAAGTGCCAGTGAGGAATTGCCCAAAGGAAATGTGACCTTTCCAGCAACGTTAGCTTGTCTGGAGTGGGTGGTTGTGGCTGTGTGGAACGACGTGGGTGCCTGTATCATCACTCTGCAGGAGGAGGCGTTCTGTAGGGCAGATGGAAACAAAACCTCCTCCCTTGGCTGGGGGTCTGGAGGAAGGTGAAGTCAAGAGTTGGATCTGAAATGGGCAGCTGGCCTGAGTCAGAGCAGAAGTCTGAGCATCCCAAACGCTTGGCCAGCCGTGCCCACAGCTGAACCCTGGTGCTTTCAGCCCCTCCTTAGACCTGCAGGATCTCCTTGCCTCCTCAGGAAGGGATAAGCCCCTTCCTGAAAGAGCGTTTTGCCCCAGACCAAGACCTCCAAAAGCTGTTGGCAGGGATACAGAGACTGCATGTGAGGAATGACCTGACCCTGTGATGTGGTCTTGCCAGACCAAGCTTTGCTGCAGCTCCTGGCTGCTGGGGCAACAAAGTGGTCCCTCCTCCCTCCCTTCTCCAGCTGCCCTAATATTTGCATGAGGGAGTGAATTTCCTTTTGCCTCACCTGAAAATCCCTCTGTGTGGGCAGGTGACTGGATGCAGGAGCTTTAGCTCAACTTGCAAGCTTCAAGTCTTTTTGCTTGTCCTGTGAAATGAAGAGGGGAGCTCTCAGTGCCATTAGCTGCTACAAGCCTTCTCCTTCCCAAAAATCCTCAGCCTGGGACCGACCTGGGAAAGTGCTGGCTGGGGGTGAAAACAGAGGCTGGTGGTATCAGCCCAAACCTCAAGCGCCAGGTAATTATTTCTAGAACGGGGAGAGAGGGTTGTGCAATGCTGCTGTGGGCTGAGCACGCCGAGTGCCCCACCGCAACCACGAGCAATTAGAGCAAACGGGGAGAGCGCGGCCCCTTCTTAGAGGACGGAACCCTTTGGAAATTAAATCTTTCCACCTTTTTGCTTTGAAAGGCAATTTAACAGCTGACCCCTTCCTCACACTTGGTCTTGTCCAAATTGAAATGGCACATTCCATCCGCGGTCCAACAGACCTTTGTAGCTGACCCAAACGCAAGGACTTTGGCAAGGCTCAGTTTCTCATTTGTTTCGGGGTTTGTTTGGTGGTTTGTGGGGTTTTTTTTTGGTTTTGTTTGTTTTCCACTGAAGACAAATATTTGTGCTGCTAGGTCGGCCAAAAAGGAATCATCCTTTTCCCTCTGCTCGTCAATGCGACTACTGAACCCCAAAGCATTGCTTATTAAACCTTGCTCTGCCGCCAGCCTGTTTGTGCATGAGAAAGAGCTCTGAATCTGCTAATAAACTGGGTTTAGGTGTTTTCTGAAGAGATTTCTGAACCTAGGGTAAGGAGGGACTCACTGGGGGCTTTATCTGCAGGACTTATTGCTGAAAAAAATGCACAGAGCTCGCAGCCCCACCGCGATGCTCAGTATATCCGAGCCACATGCCCGCAGCAAGCGGCTCAGAGAAGATATTCCCTTGCTTTTGCAGAAAAAAAAATAAAATTCTCCCCCAAAATGATCATCGCCCCCCAGGCTCTGTCCTCAGCCCGTTCGGAGGATGCGGGGACAGAATAGCGAGCCAGTGAGGTCATGGGGAAGAGAGTTAGTCACGTCCAACTGGGAAAGGGAGAGGGCTGCCAACCAAGTTTGCTTGCAGACAGTTTGCATGATTTGGAGGGGATCACCCCCTCCCTGGGCTCCCCTGTGGACCCCGATCAAGCAGCGGCTTCCCAAGGAGCTGGAGGAGTGGGAGAAGGAATTGAATTGAAATCTAATTTGTTCTGGTCCATGGATTTTGCTTCTCATAACTGGGGCGACGCGGGCGAGAGGGGGTTAAGAGCCTTTCCGAATCGGAGACTATCTGGAGCAGCACAAGGGAGAGAGATCGTGGCAGAGTTTAATGAATGACTTCATTTATATATTAAAAAAAAAAAAAGAAAAAAAAAAGAACCACAACCACACACACAACAACATGGTGGCTTCTTGCCAGGCTCACAGACAAGGGTTTCTATGGGAACCTGGGGGAAAACAATAAATAGGAGTGTGGGATGAGTAGGAAAGGGAGGAGGGGAGTTGAGTGGGGCTGCTTAGAACAAGGTGGCAAGAGGGGAAAAGGCGGCTGAATTTGCTGCTTGCAGAAAGACCTCACCCCAAATTTAGCGGGCAGGTCTCCTGGCTTAGTCCCAGGTTTTGCTCCGATCCCTGTGTGCTCAGCAGGGATGGGCGACCTGTCTCTGTGCAGTTCCACATCCCAGCTCTGAGATGTTTGGAGTTTGGAGTTTGGGAGGGCAGGAGTGCGGGGAGGAGGGGGGCAGTGGGACCGCCCCGCAGAGGGACGCTGCCGGGGCTAAGCTTGACACTCCTGCTCCAAGTGAGTCTCCTTGGGAAAGGTTGACAAGGTTTGTAGTGTGATTAGAAAAGCCAGATTTTTCATGAACAAAATGTCTCAATCCCAACTCTTTCTTTGTGTTTGTTTGTTTCCTTTGCTAGGAATGGAGGGGGTCTGTCCTGAACCTCAGATGAAAGCAGCATCTTAGTGAGATCCCTCATACGGTTCATGGTCCAGGCTGTGGGCAAAGCCAGGGTGGCACTTCTGGAGTCAGCTGAGACCTGCCCCCCTGTTTCACTGAGCAGAAACGAGTCTTAACTAATTTTGGGGTTTTCGTGTTCCTCTCCACAAGTTTGTTGCCCCGATCTGAACCGATGTCACACCCTGTAGGTTCACCCCGTAGGGGCTGCAGCCCTTGTGATGTCCCAAAGAGTAGGATGGGAGGTCACCTTCCCAGCGTGGGTGCCTTTCACAAGAGCGTTTCTGCAAAGAGGCTTTGCCAATGCCAGGGGAAACAGCCTTCATGGTCTGTTTTGGACCTGGCCGAGCCAGGGATGGGGGAACTTCTGCCCCAACGTTGGCCCCAGGTACCATGAGTGAGACCTGCCCTGCTCCAGCGGTGCCTACACTGCTGTAGCGCGTCCCTTTGTGCCTGCAGCCCGGCTGGTGCCACCAGGCGATGGGGCAGGAGCCAATCCCACGCGGGGACTGGCGTTATCGCCACCGAAGGAATGTGGCGGCCGCCTTATCACTTGCTTGAGGATGTGAGAAGCTGTTCTGCTCACAGACGTGTTATTATCCAGCGGCTGAGATGTCTGGGAGAAGCCAGGGCAGGTTTTTCTCCTGCTCCCCACCCCTGTTTGCTGGTCAGGCAGCAACAGCTCAACTGCTGAAGGAAACTCACCCTCAGGGTGCAGATCTCACCCTCCCTGGCCCAAAGCTGGAGGTGGGAGCGTGGGATTCCTTGCAGCGCTGCAAGACCCTTTACAATCCGTTCCTGGGGTGCAAAGCTGCTTTGCAGGGAATAGTGCTTCCCAGTGGGCTTCCAGTGGCTGCTCTGGGAGGAAGGGAGCACACACCGCATCTTCCTTGAGGTTGGGAAAGGCTCCCCTGTGCTCCTCTCTCCATCCCACCTCATCCTTGCACGTCAGTTGGTCCTGCTGCTGGTGGAGGTGGGGATGCAGCTTTGAGGACCATTCGTGGTGATCTTCTGCAGGAGCCCCCCTCTTGCTGGGGGAGGAACCCAGACCCCTCAAGGGGTGATTTGCCAGGTTTCCCAGGCATTAAGGATGGGTTTTCCCTCTGTCTCGGCAGGCTGACGGCGCCGGGGAGTGTGGAAGACGA